TTGATCAGCTGTTGTTGGAATTGATTTAATATTAATTTCTAGTATCAGCTGATGTTTGCTGGAGCCACAGCTGTAAAAGCTGCTGGTCATGATATCTGTTTGGATATGTGGTGAGAGGGAAACATGGAACACTGCTCTCCAGTTTACTCAACGTTTGATTGTAATGAATTTTTGAATTATTTCACAAATAAGGTCACTGCGATAAGGTCAAATATCTCTCCATCATCTTCTCAGTATCAAGATTACAATTTGCTCACCTCTGATGCTTGGTCCTCCTTTACTCCTGTTAGATTACATGACATCAGTGCTTTGCTTGGTCATATGAAACCAACTTCAAGACCCCTTGATGTCCTTCCTGCCTCTTTTTTTCATTAGTGTCTTTGACTCCATTGGCCCCTGTATTGTGGAAATGATAAAATATTTCTCTTCGTACTGAAGGTGGAGGTAATGCACCTGAGGTCGCTTGTCAACCTCCATAAAAAGACAGAAGAAGAAGTGGCTCTGATACGTTGTGTGAGCACCACAATTATCAGGAGCTACGGCGGCTATTGGGAACTAGTGAAAACAAACTGGTGTCAAGCCACCCTCATGTTGAAGAATTACAGTCAAGCCAGCCTCCCCTTTGTTTTATGTTCCCTTCGTTTGGCAAGTATTTTGGCAAGACGTGGAAACCTGAATTCAAAATAAAGAACAACTTCCAGTGAATGTAGCTTCAACATTAACCCTGATTTCAAAGTATGTACCTTCGAAACCTGATTTCAAAATAAAAGCCAACTTCGAGTGAATTAACAGACATGTTATGTACATAATAACAAATATAATTTAGTGTTGTTTCCACACTAATGTTAGATCCAAATGACACACCCTTGTACTCTAGTAGCGCTCTGTCAATATCAAGGCCACCTTTCTTTGGATTTCAAAGTAAAAGCCCTGTGAATTTTCATTATTGAACTACTCTTTCAATGCCAAAAGGTTGATTATGTTCATAAGGAGGTAGCATTTTCAGTGGTAGAAACATTTTTTCACTCATTCAGTTGACTTCTTCAGTTGAAGAAGCTATGTCAAGATGAACAGAATCAAGCTTTTGGGATTTACTTACGTGGATGAATGAGCATGCATCAAGCACTCTTTCAATGACTTCAGAATGCCCTTGAAAGGAAAATTCATGTTTCCACCGGATAATTGCAGTCTATATCGCCAGTATACAACCTCTTTCAGTGTTGCACTTTGTATACAGTCCCTGAGCGCTCGTATTACAATCAGCTGCACATAGAGACCATTGTTGTTAGTCCAGGTCAGAAGATGACTTGTTGGAATGAAAATGAGCTTGTAGTTTGTCTGCTTTAATAATGTGACTGGAAAAAGGTGTTGGACTTCAAATATGTCCATTTCTTTCACACTTCACCTTTAAAAGTGAAGTGTGAAAAAAGTGAAGCCATGTGGTTCTTGTAATGAAAAACATGACTTTTTCAAGTCTTTTTCATTTTTTAATGATAAATGTACGACTTTAATGTGAAACATTCAGAGTTTTTTCTCTTGTTGTGTTTATTTGAAGCTGCTTCCTGTTGGCTTCAGCTGTTTGGAGTTTCCATTTTCTAAACTTCTACATTCTGAACCTTCTTCAGCTCTGAACAGATGATGAAACACTGAATGGGTTTAAGGTCACACTTTGTCTAATAAACTCACATGTTTCATTTTTTTATACAGATTGAGGAACTGTGATTTGTCAGAGATCAGCTGTGATTATCTGGCAGCAGCTCTGAAGTCCAACCCCTCCCATCCGAGTGTGCTCGATTTGAGTGGACACTACAACAATCTGCAGGATTCAGGAGTGAAACAGCTGTGTGTTCTTCTGGAGAATCAACGATGTCGATTTGAAACTCTGAGGTCAGTCATCATGTTTTAGTTGTATTTATTGTTTAAATATTAATTGTGCTGACACTGTTGATGGGTAAGCTTACAGACCCCTATACGGGAAGTCTTGTTTGGCTCTTTGTAGAACTTCTAATCTCTGATCCTCTGAGTCTAACTCAGTAAGTAATGCAGAGTTGTTTTGTTGAGAAGCTGAGAGATGTCACTATGGAGGCAGATGAAACCATGGTCTCGTACGACGTTACATCTCTCTTTACTTGCATCCCAGTCATGGAAGCGTTGGAGGTAGTCTGTAAGAGATTACAGGATGACCCCAACCTCAGCAACAGGACCGCTCTCAGCATCGACCAAGTGTGTTTGAACTGTGTCTTCATTCCACCTACTTCACATACAAGGGTCAGTTCAGAAACACGAGTGTGCCGTGGGTTCCCCAGTTTCACCCATCGTGGCCAATTTGTACATGGAAGAAGTGGAAAAGAGGGCTTTGCTATCCTACCCTGGAACACCACCAAACCATTGGTTCAGATATGTGGATGACACCTGGGTGAAAATCAAATCTCAGGACGTTCCACAGTTCACGGATCACATTAACTCAGTGGACCGACACATCAAATTCACCAGGGAGGATATGAACAGTGGCAGGTTAGCCTTCTTAGACTGTGAGATTTCCATCAGTAATGGGGGACATCTAAAAGCTGACGTGTACAGTAAACCTGCACATACGGATCAGTATTTAAGGTTTGACTCTCATCATCCACTGGAGCACAAACTGGGCGTCATCATGACGCTACAACACAGAGCGAACACCATCCCAATCCCAATCCCACCATCCAGTGTACTGTTTATAAGACTGAGGAAACCTGCAGTTAAGAAGTCACCTGGATGATGATGAAACGTTTCTCCCACTGAAAACGCTACGTCCAGATGAACAGAATCAACTTTTGGAGATGTACAACAGAAAATGCAAATGCTATTTATGGTCTCCTCACAACAATGATATGAAAAATAAACTGGGCCAATATAGTATGTTTGTTAATACAGGGATACAAAATGAGATAACATAAGATAAGACTTTACTGATCCCACGATAGGGAAATTTTTGCGTTACCTCAGCTCAAGTACAGATATCAGAAGGAAAATACAAAAAATACAAATAAAATACAAACAAACATAAAATAAGTAAGATAATACACTATATACAACAGTAGTATACACAGTATGTGATAATGGATATGGTTGTGAAAATATGCCACACATAAACTATATAGCTTAACATAACTATTCTACCACTGCTATTCCTATGTAAGTAATAGATATCTATAAGTATAGACATGTACACGCACACACACATGTACACACTAAATATACATATGCATACATATATGTATATGTATGTATATGTATGTGTATATATATATATGTCTATACACATAGAAGGTGCATTATGCATGAAGTGGTGACCGTGGTGACACCAGCCAACAAAGTCACTGATGACCCCCCTGTATTCCTGATCATTCCTGTCTCATACGCATCCGATGATGGCTGTATCATCTGAGAACTTCTGTAGATGGCAATCGTCCGAATTATATGGTAAATGGTTAATGGCCTGCATTTGTATAGCGCTTTTCTAGTCCCTAAGGACCCCAAAGCGCTTCACACTACATTCAGTCATTCACCCATTCGCACACACATTCACGCATTATAACAGAAGTCTGAAGTGTGAAGGCTGAACAGGAAGGGTGAGAGAACCGTGCCCTGTGGTGCCCCCATGCTGCAGATTACCACCTCGGACACACAGTCATGGAACCTCACATACTGTGGTCTGTTGGTAAGGTAGTCGATAGTCCACGTAGTCAGCTGTGTGCCTACTCCGGCTCCCTCCAGCTTCCCTCTCAGTAGTGCAGGCTGGATGGTGTTGAAAGCACTGGAGAAGTCAAAAAACATGATCCTCACAGGGCTCCCTGCTTGCTCTAGGTGAGAGAGAGATCGGTGTACCAGGTAGATGACAGCGTCATCCACCCCAATTCCAGACGGGTAGGCGAACTCCAGGGGGTCCTCGCTGAGCCCACCAGTTGGCGAAGGTGGTGCAGGATGAGCCTTTCTATGGTCTTCATCAGATGAGAAGTCAAGGCCACTGGCCTGAAGTGGTTGGGCTCCTTGGAGTGTGCGATTTTTGGCACCGGAACCACACAGGAAGGCTTTCACAGTTCAGGTACCCTCTCCAAATTCAGGCTCAGGTTGAAGATGTACAGGAATTCAGTTCTGGGGTCACCCACGGTTTATTGTTTGAGAAACACTGTACCTTCTTGGTAGGCACAGTGTTCTCAACACAGAAATTAATGTAATCTGTAATGCAGTGGGTGAGGGCGTCAATGTCCTCACGGTGAGGCTTGCAGAGTTCCTGGCAGTCTGTGCATTCAAAACAGTCTCTCAGGGCCTCACTGCATTCCTCAGACAACACCCTTATCACTTTCTTTGTGGGGGGTTTCCTCTTCACCATAGGGGTGTAAGTGGGGTGGAGAAGCCTGCTTTGTGTTGGCAAACAATATGTCCAAAGTTTTTCTGTCCCTTTTATGGCAGTTAACATACTGGGAGAAGTTAGGGACACTGGCAGATAGTGAGGCATGAAAGAAGTCCCCAGAGATAATAATGAAGGACTGCGGATGTGCCATCTGTAGCTGAGAGACAGTGGAGTGAAAGTACTCACAGGCTGCCGTAGCGTCGGCCGAGGGTGGGATGTAAACAGTCAGCAAAATAACGTGTGAAAATTCCCTGGCCAGGTAGTATGGCCGGACACTCACCGCCAACAGTTCAATGTCTTTGGTACAGTGCTGTTCCTTCACAGTGATGTGTCCTGGGCAGAGATGGGCAGTAACGTGTTGCAAGTAATACCTTACTGTAATCTGATTACTTTTTCAAGTCACGAGTAAAGTAAGGGATTACTATTGCAAAAAAGGTAATTAGATTATTGTTACTTTTCCGTAAGCACGCTGCGTTACTGCGTTACTAAACCGTGACTTCATTAGCAAAAATATCTAATGACAGTGACGTAAGCGAGTGCAACTGTGGTAGAAAACGGCTGTATGCAGTTCAACAATGGATCATATAACAAGTGAGTATGAGCGTGCAGCGTTTAAAGCGTGGAAGTACTGACCTTACTTTGAGTTTGATTCCGTAAAAAGTGGCAAAAAAATTAGCATCCGCTGTTCACTCCGTGGGAAGAAAACTTATTTTTACAGCGAAAAATACCTCTAAACTTCTGAGCAAGCACTGAGTACGCTACCAGGGAATGGGAAATTCACAGA